TCATCAACTATAAGAAATTCACAGACAAGAGAAAATGTTGAAAAAATTTAAGTCATTACAAAATTTGCAGGTATTTACCATACCAAATTACCCACCAGACATGACCTTGATGTAGCCGTTACAATAAAAATGGCTGCCCTTGACAAGGTCAATTGGTCTCTGGGATAGACTGGGGGAATGTCTTATGGACAAACCATACCAGGGGAATCAATGTTCTCTCCGACAATCGCTTGTATAACTGTTAATTTAGCCTCTGTATCAACCCTGTACCTGTCTCGTCACTCGAGTGTACGGACCGAGACTGCACACCAGTCGCAGAAACTATTTCTATTGTTGATGTAACAATGCTTTTAGTGGCATTCTTCGACCAATACCTGCCACATGTTGGTTGTTTACGGGGCGTAGTCACAGCTCTGACAAAACGTATATCATGTACATACTCGAAATACATGTACGACAGCCGGCTATATATAGCTACAGCACACGAAAGGCTCCCAATATGTTTTTTCATCTCAACAGTTGAAGACCCTATTGATCGTACTGGACACGGTAGTGTGTCTCGGACCACCCGTCGTTACGGAAACGTCTTGTTCGGAAAAAGTGTTATTGGTGATGGCATTAGATCTACTAATACTTGTACATTTTGTATGTACAATAAAACTAACTTAGTACAATAAAACAATAAAACACACTTAGTACAATAAAACACACTTAGTACAATAAAACGCAATAAGTACAATAAAACGCAATTAGTACCGACATGCTTATGATGCTTACGAAGAACTCCTGCTAATAGTTTTTGTCTCCAGATCTTTAAGAATGTTTTTAATTTCCTTGCTTATCAAAACATTAAAACATATATGAATTCTGGTAAAGAATTCACCTTTTGACTTAGAACTGTGGATAAATTGTGGTAACTCCAGGACACTTAATAGGAAAAATTAAATCTAAGAATACTTTAGTTAAAATGTTCTTAGAGTTAAGAAGTTCCATGGAGTATTGATAATGATAAAGTGTTAATAACATTTTTAACCCCTGGTAAGGAATATTGACGTGTAACTATAACATATTATGTCTATATATATATAGTTAACAAATCTCTCAGATCCCCTTAGGGGTTCACTATCAACATGGTTTACTATTACTATATTACTTAACTCATTCACCCCTGAAGACACATTTGAACTCTTCCAATTCGAAGGTTGGAATAGTTCATAAAATTTCAGGGGTGAATGAGTTAAAACACATCTGGCTGTCATTAACTGGCATACTTGACAGTACTTATCTCCAACACAATCAGTCATATACAATTTGTGGTCTAAATAGGGAAAAAACTAAATAAGGGAAAAATCTGTTAATAGCATTACAAATGCATGTCTTTACCAAACTATGTATTTAACTTTTAAGTAATAGGTCCCAAACTGAACCTGTGTAATCAGTTAACCTGAATAACTCAGACTTCAATTCAGCTTCTTAGCTGAACCTGAGTTATCTAAAAACTATCCAATCAGCACAAAAACTATATGTGTTCCGTCGGAATGGACTTCACCCTAATACGAACGAGATCAATCAAGCAGACTTAATTTTGATGAATTCAGTTTGTGTAGCTTCTTGCACGGAACAGCATTCCTTTAATTGTTTTACAGAAATAGAATGATTAAGAATGAATCACCTGGTTATAATTTACATACGACCAAAGTAGAACAGAGCTCTCGAAGCAGACACAGGAGTTAGTGTTCCCTCTTCACACTGTAGTAACCTGCTTGTAAAAAACAGACAGGAAGATTGTTCACCTCAATCAGGCCATGTTCCGTGAAGTTTTCAGCAAGGAAGAGCCACTTGTTAGGATATAAACAAACTTTTCCGTCTCTACTCCACAATTAAGTAATTAGATAATCAGGACAGAACACGTCTCTACAAACTTTTATTGTCCTGCTGGCAACAATTTTAAATTGAAAGTACTTTCTCGGAGAAGGTTCTAATTTGTGTCATAAACTGCCATACGGCTATGAATGTTGGGTTGCTTTTAGTGAAAGATGTGTTCTACGGCTCATTGAGTCTCGATGAATGTCAGTTCTATCTTAGAAATAACGGAGTTCATGAATTTAGATCCATGTTCGGAGACAATGTTATAATGGCTATAAGTCAATGAACGTTGTGATAGCAAAGTTCACGAATGTTAGCTCCGTGTTCGGAGAAAATGTTATAATGGCTATAAGTCAATGAATGTTGTAAAAGCAAAGTTCACGAATGTTAGCTCCGTGTCCGGAGACAATGTTATAGGTAATGGCGGAGTCAAGGAACATAAAATAGCTCCTTGTTAACCCTTTCACCACTGTAGACCATGATGGACTCATCCATATCAATGCGTGGTAGAGTCTACTAAAGTTACATAGGGGTGAAAGGGTTAAGGGTGAAATGCTGTCTAGTTATCTGTAAAAATCTCCGACATGCTGATTCATGACTGCTAATTTCAGGAAAGATTGCGGTACATTAGCTAAAATTGGGTATTACTCGCACATGTTTCGGAGATAGAGAATCGTGTAACAGAACTATTTAATTAATTTTGTGACACAATTACAGAATCCTGTGTCAGAGATGCAGAATTATTTGAGTCACAAACTCTTTTGACAAGGTTAGAAAATCACTTCACAGAGTTATGAAATCATGCGACAGATCTGCCAAATGACTTATTCCGAAGATTTGAATTTATCAAAGGTGTAACATACACAGACAACCCTTGATATATTGAACCTGGACAAATATTTGAGATATATCAATTTGTCAATACAATTGTTGAAAATAAATGCCAAATTGTATACATTTAAGTATAATTGGCTGAGCATAAAACCTCATTTCAAAACAGCTATGTGTATTATTGTACCACAATCCAGATAAGGCCGTCGTTCTGACAACCATTAGCACTGGAGTTTTATTTTCTATGCTAATTTGTAGGTCGGGATCTTTTGCCTTAAATTGTCTGTACTATGACACATCTAGGGCTCTAAACCAAAGACAAGGGAAGTGAACAACACTGACACTAATGGTCTGGCCTCAGGTCCTAGGAAGGTTATTTAACAAATGACAATGGTAGCAAGGTCACTTTTGAGTATTTCTTATATTGATGTCAAGGTCACATGGCCAACATCCGACATTGGTGTCAAGGTCAATTTAGTAATACCTGACATTGATGTCAAGGTGACAAGATCAATATCTGACACTGGCAAATAGGATAAATTGTCTGACACAAGTTGCAATGGTATCTGTAGTCATACCCAACATTGATGTCAAGCTCACATGGTTGGTAATATATGACATTGGTGTCGATGTGACTTTAATAATATCCGACATCTGTGTCAAGGTCACATGGTTGGTAATATATAACATTAGTGTCAATGTGACTTTAATATTATATCCGACATCTGTGTCAAGGTCACATGGATATAATATGATATTTGATGTCAAGGTCACCTGAGAAATCTCCAACATTGATGTGCAGGTTTCTCTGACAAGCCTTGTCCTCCTCATCAAATACAGTACTTTTTTTATAGCAAGAAACACACAAAAAAAATCTATCATCTCATAGAAAACCAATTCTTATTCTGACAGAGGTGTTATTTGCTGTTTTAAGACCAAATTATTCAGAAAAAAATACTGAAAATCTCCATATGCTGCTAAAAATAACACACATGGTTGGTATCTGTCCCGGTCATTCCTCAAGATGAAATACAAATGCATCAACATTTTACGCATATTCCCAAAAAAAAAACATATGTCGGGGTCAGCGAAGGTCAGCCCTAACCATGTTCTGTTGATGACAATCAAAGCACAATATTTTCGCAAGCAAATCCTAAATAAACAGGGTGTTATCTCAAAAACTACACCTAAATGCTAGTTGCATGTTGAGTCTGATCCCCAGACTTACATATCGAGACATGGAGCGGAGGAAGTCGACGGTATCCCGTCTACGTACACAGGAAGTCGACTGATACAGAGGCTCACGTTTATCGCTTTTACACACAAAAGCTGCATATTTGTACACACAAATAACAAACATCAAAACTTCTTGGATGTATACCATCTTGTAGTTAAAAACTTACGCAGCAAGTCATGTCACTGCTAAACATTTATCAATACTGTGGTTTAATGGCGGAACCTCGCCAGTTTTAAAAAAGAAAAATTTCAGACACATTTCATAAATCTCTAAATCTCTGATGAAAAGGAAATATAAGATCCTGTATGTAATTCAGTATAAAGCATCAAATCAGGTTTTTTTCCGTAACAGGTGTTATCTTATTAAGGAACAGATCCCTCTAACATCTATCCATTGTGTCTTTTTTGAGAAAGATTGATGATGTCAGGTTGGTGTATTAATCATATGTTCTAATCTTGCCTTTTTGATAAGAATAGAATTAAGTTTCTGCATTATCCAGACAGTGTGAAATTCTTACTGGAAATCAGTGCGAGATTTTACCTCTAAGGGGAGATAACCACTTCATCCAATCTGAGACAATATGAGATTTTGACTGTTACTACTAATTTGCATTTCAAACAGTATCACTAGCTTTACCAGTTGCTATTTTTGGACCTAATAGTCTGATTTCTTCTTCTTCAATTTATTCATTTAAATTTGTTTTCCATCAAAATTAAGTGGAAACACATTTAAATATTCTAGATAATTTGTTTTCTGCAACAACATCTGTTACAGCGGAAAAAAGGATATGTCATTTTGAAGATATTTTAGTTCCTAAAAATAATTGTAGGTTTCAATTAACGTTTTTGTGTGTTGTATCTTGTAAATTTGTATAAATTGTCATATCATCTCATCTAATACTTGGAGAGAAAAAAACAAAAGACTTGGGATAACTGGAGTCAAGCTATACAAGGTTCCACTGCACAGTCCGTCTCTCTCACTAGAGTATCTACCTGTAACGAGAATGTATGCTGGTCCTACCTGTAACAGAGTATCTACCTGTAACGAGAATGTATGCTGGTCCTACCTGTACTTTTCCTTCGGAAGCTCTATGACCTTGGTGACGTGGGACTTCCAGGCCTCCAGCTCGTCCTGTTCCATACGCGAATCTAGTGCAGCGAGGGCCTGCTCCATCTGAATCTGTAAGTGTCAACATCATTTTATAACTATCTTCAGGCAAAGAGTACTTAAAATTTACTTTTGGTCTGTTGGTTTTTTTTATCACTTTTTGAGTCGAAGTTATTGGCTTTGGAATTTTTGTGAATTTTACATACCTTGTAGATTGAAATTTTTCAATGGAAAATTACAAAAACACAAACACTGGTGAAAAAAAATTAAAAATAAATAAATAAAAAAGTGTTGGATATAATCTTTACTAAAGTGTTACCTTTATATGTTCTATAACACATGCATATTACACAGATTTATTCAAGCAAAAATGATTGTACAATCTCCTCTTTAACAGCTATTTGCAAATATATGTAGTGGCAATTAATAATAATAATAATAATTTGAGGTTCTTATATACCGCTTTATCACAACCTAGTTTGTAGGTCGTCTCAAAGCGGTTTACAAATTATTATCCGTGGTTATAGGGCCTTTGCAACCAGCCAATACCTTTCTTAACTCCCTGGGGAGCATACAGCCGGAGCTGCCATTTCGGCGCTAACAGCTAGCATTCAACAACTCTAGCACTGCCCAACCACGTACTCATTTACAGCTGAGTAGACTGGAACAAGCGGAGTAAAGTATCTTGCTCAAAGATACAACACAGTGCCGTGCCGTGGCCCGAACACGCAACCCTTCGGTCACGAGCCCGGCGTCCTACCACTAGACTACCGTGCCTACAGGCAATCAAAATTTCTCTCAATTCATTTTTTTAACCAAGTTTTATTCTGGTAATCATTAAGTTTATATTCAAAATGTCTGACTCCTAAATTTGTACTGAAACACTGTTTCACAGTTCTTTGCGAAAAACGGAAATTTTCAAATGTTTCAGCTTTGAAAGCCTTCATATGTAACAAGGTTTCACAAAACTTAATATTTGAAAATTTGTTGAAAGCCTGATGAACCCTTTCTCAATGGCATGAAATTAGTGACATCAGTGTCGTATTTTCCAAGAAAAGATCTGCTTTAGTTTTATCATGTCAACTCATGATTACCTGTAGGCCAGAGTATTTAGTTAGAATAGACATAAGGTTTAATGAAATTTCGAAAATATTTATCAAAATGTCTTTGTGTCAAATTTTTGAAAGTTTTTAATTTATAAAAAGATTTGTGCATGTAATTTTCATCTATAACCACATGCAAAACAGTAAATAAATTATCCTTTGATAGGGTAAGTAAAACTTTGGTTTTCAAAGAGGGTCAGGATTAAAAGAATGTACCTGGAAGTAGTAGTTAGAGGCCAGTCCCGGCCCTGCTATCCTGCGGGCCACAAAGCTGTCCTTGGCCGGGACCCGCCCCCGACTCTTCACCACCGTGAAGTACATCACAGTGTCCCACGCTCCACGTCCCGTCCGCCTCAGCAGGCCAACTGAAATAACACATCAACAGCTGATGACAAAATAGACACAATGCAATGATTTTACATATGACATCAAATCTGAGCAGCTTTGATTTTAGTGATAAGTAATTCTATGCTTTATCATAAATTCAGCAACTTACAGAATTTTAAGTTAACAAACGGGAACATCATGGCTACATTCGCGTATCCCGGTTAAAACGGTACGTGTGGCGCAGAAATTTTCCACGATAAACGAACACACTTGGACCGTTCTATAAGCAGTTTTCAGAGAATAAAAAACAATGTATCAAGAATATTATGCCCTTCTTTTACGCGTCCACTAAATTACCTAACGTATCTTAAAAATTACATGTGACTTGACATTGTTTAAGAAAGAAATAACGCAAATTGGCAATAGTCAGCATTTTAGTTTCGGTCAGGTACGTCTGGACCCCTCAATCTACATGTACCAAATTTTCCTGAGGTCAGCCTCGGTCCAAATCTGTACCTGTCGTTTTCTTTACAGGTTCAACCATTTCAACCGGATACGCGAATGCACCCTATATCTTGATCAAATTATAAAATGCATTCCCACTTTTTGAATTAGTACTGTAAAAGCATTACGTCTTGTTTGGGGAAATAATTTCTTTTATTTCGTTGTTTTATAGGGAGATCTTGGACCAGATGACCCCTGAACTTTGGATGATATTTATCAATTCAGTAAACACATCTTAATTTATTGTGCACTACCGTCAGGGTAGGGTACACGTATGGGAGTCTTCTTTTCGTATGTAGTAGTATCTTTGTTTGTAACCGATCGAGCATGACGGATTTGATCGATTCCTTTCGAGTGATCACATCGATCTTACCTGAACTTACCTGTATTCTTTCTATATGTTTTGTATTACGTCTTTCATTGAATTAAATACTGACAATATCAGTATTGTGTCGATTCCAAGAAATTTAAGGATAAAAAATCGGTCCCCACATGCAAACCACAAGTCTTTAACCCCCATTGAATCTAACTGCTTTTACAGACTACAGAATTGAGGATGTCTTTGAGAAACAGGTGATTGTAATAGTTTCCACGTACAGATAGACACCGCTAAGGCAGCTAGTGGGCAGAGGATACCCCCTGTAAGTAGTGCAGCTATCGGCTGTATCAGTCCTTGAAGTACAATCCTTCCTAGTAAGGCTTCGAAAATCAGGAACAATCGGTTACTTTCATCTGAAACAGAAATGCATGAAATCATGAGACATTTCCCACGTTGTAAGGAGAAACCTGATCAGTTAACATCCCATCATCATAGTCCGATACATAAAAAGTATGTTTTTTCCATTTGTGCAGCAACTTATACATCCATTTGTGCAGCAACTTATACAGGATGCAATTTACTTTACTTTCTCAAACATGTATATGTTATATTTCATTTCTAACAATTAAACTTTACAATTTTTTTTACTTGAGAAAGAAAAGTAATTCACACAAAAGATAAAACAAAACATAATGTTATGTAATAGAGAGGTCCGTAGAACAGTTTTTAATATTTCGGATTTAAATCTTAGAAAACTGATCAACTCGAACTGATGTAAACACAATTGTTTTTCATCTTAAGCACTCAAAACAATGACTCACCTGGACAGTCAAAATCGAAAACGAGGAAGAAACTTATATGAACGAATAGGGTAACAGCTGGCATCCTGAAAATATCAAAAATATTGTTATTATCATTAAAGTTGACTCAACATAATGTCACACTGCTTGCAATACACTAGGGAATTCCACTGTAGTTTTATAATAATAATAATATTTGGAGGTTCTTATATACCGCTTTATTACAACCTAGTTCGTAGGTCGTCTCAAAGTGGTTCACAAATTATTATCCGTGGTTATAGGGCCTTTGCAACCAGCCAATACATTTCTCAACTCCCTGGGGAGCATACAGCCAAAGCTGCCAATTTGGCGCTAACAGCTAGCATTCTACAATTCTAGCACTGCCCTACCACGTACTCACTTACAGCTGAGTACAGTATCTTGCTCAAAGATACAACACATTGCCGTGTCGCAGCGCGAACCCGCAACCCTTCGGTCTTGAGCCCGGCGTCCTACCACTGGACTACCGTGCCTCCATACCTAGTCACTTCCCTTTAGTTTTATCTGGGATGTAACTGTGGATGGACTGGGCCAGGGAATTATCATTACCGCCAATCAGGTAGTTCAGTCGGTAACCGGGACAGTGTCGTGATCAGTGGGCCAAGATAGATCTGAATCTAGCTGTTCTGACCCCATTACGTTTTGACACTAAGAACACTATTTTTGGTTTATTTCATATTTATTACTTTTTCATAAAAGTTCTACAAGGTATAAGGTTTCATTTCAGAAAAGATTTATCTTAACTATTTTCACACCGGTGAAAGTAAATTTCCAAACCATAAATCCAGTTTATTAGAATCAAGTGTTTCAGCTGACCACTGTTTTGTCAATATAGGATCCAGGACAATGGTTAGTCAATGTTTATGGTTGAAAACATGTGATAAATACATGTATATACATTTCTGGAAGACTATATACTGGGAAATTCTCTCCCAGTCAAAATTTCGCCCCTTGCTCATGAAATCAATTTTTCGCGTACATTTATTACAATGTATGTTATGTTGTTTATTAATATTTGCTGTAATTATATAATAAATTCACCCAAAGCATGGAGGGCGAAAATTAAACTGCAGCATAATTTTTCTGGCCTTACCAAAGTTTAAATATTTTATCTTTACACAAACTATTAACAAGGAGGCAGGTATAGCCAAACTTACCACAGGGGAGCAGTGACAGCTGCTGTCAGGGAGGCAGGTATAGCCAAACTTACCACAGGGGAGCAGTGACAGCTGCTGTCAGGGAGGCAGGTATAGCCAAACTTACCACCGGGGAGCAGTGACGGCTGCTGTCAGGGAGGCAGGTATAGCCAAACTTACCACGGGGGAGCAGTGACGGCTGCTGTCAGGGAGGCAGGTTTAGCCAAACTTACCACAGGGGAGCAGTGACGGCTGCTGTCAGGGAGGCAGGAATAGCAAAACTTACCACAGGGGAGCAGTGACAGCTGCTGTCAGGGAGGCAGGTATAGCCAAACTTACCACAGGGGAGCAGTGACGGCTGCTGTCAGGGAGGCAGTAGAAGTAACGACACAGCAGACCGGGAAGAAGAGGACTAGTATTACTGTTCCACACGCCCCCTTCATGACGTAGTTCCAGAAACGGTTGATATGACGTGTCAAACTCTTTCCTAGGAAACCTGCACATAAACATACCATCTGTTACTGTAAACCTGCACATAAACATACCATCTGTTACTGTAAACCTGCACATAAACATACCATCTGTTACTGTAAAATTAAACCTGTTCATTTTCATTTGAACAATTAACTTATGAACTGTGTTTCCAAAGTCTTGTTTCTGAGGTATAGAAAGATCTGACTCAGATGTAAGACTATAGGTCCCTTTTCTTGATTGCCGTAGCATTAGCCAAGAGCAGATTGAGCACAAAAACATCTGATTTTGTTGCATGACAATGTCAGACTACTTACCTTGGTCTGGAGCATCCTCAAATTTTTTCCTGGATTCCCAGACATTGACCCACAGTCGACTGAGGCGAGAACACAGGGTCTGGGTTGTGGCGTACGAGTTTCGATACAACTTGCCCTGTAAGGACCATGTACAGTCACTTCCTTCATTGTTATCTATAAATTACTCCTCAGACATTTTATTTCCTAAATCAATCGTGTTCATGCTAAAATTATACTTCTTTGTTATCTTTTTTGTGTGTGTACAACATGTCCTCTTCCAGAAACACATTTCACCTGGTGTTCAATGTGGTAGATACTAGAAGTAGCCAGTCTTACTACTGTTTTCACACGGTGTTCAATGTGGTAGATATTAGAAGTAGCCAATCTTACTACTGTTTTCACACGGTGTTCAATGTGGTAGATACTAGAAGTAGCCAATATAACTACTGTTTTCAGCGAACTGAAAAGTCTTGAACAAAACAATGCGGACATATGGTCAACAAACTTATTATTTAGTATTAAATAAAAAATGCAATTTTTTTTAAATACGTTTATTATTATACAGGTTTGAATTATTCACTGATATACAAGTTTGAGAGCTTTTTGTTTTGTGTATCACTGATAGATTCTAAATTAAATTATGTGATCGTTATAGCAATAAAAAAAAAATAATATTGTGTTGCTCTGTCTATTCTTATCAATTAACAACATAACACATTGACATTCACCTGCAGTGTCCAACAATGGAGTATTTAACTTTTTGTAAGTTCTGTTTTTCTTTATTTACAAAAAGTGCAAAACAATTTTGACATGCTTGTACTTGTAATCTGCTATGTTTCCACAAAATTCACAAAATTTTCTGAACTAAATTCCTTGCCAAAGTTAGCCAATTTACAGCATTTGCCTTTAGGAATGATCACTTTCCTGACTGAGTTGGTTTTCCATTGGATGAACAAATATGCATGTAACTTGCAGAAATTAATTACTTACATCATTCTGACTAAGAGTAGTGTCTGGTATGAAAGGCTTGATGCTGAACAGCGCCCTCAGACTGATGGAGCTGCACCAGGGGATCACAACCTGTAAACAAAGTGGGGGTCTTAAAGCTCGTCGTAATGGCAGAAAACCTGTAGTCTGATGACCAACATATACTGACGACAAAAATAACATTCTATGATACCTGACAGTCAAAATATCAGTGTTTAAAAAGCTTCGCGTAATGCTGAAAAATCTCTTGAGTTTTCATGACAGAAATAACCTTCTCTAATATCTCCGCCACAACCTCAGTGTGTAAAAGATTGCTAGAAAAACTCTCTAAAAACACAAATTTTCAACTTTTGACTTTCTGTATCGTTAAGCTTATGAAGCCTGGTAAAATACTTATATCTGAGGGTAAAATTATTGTGGTTTTTATGGTAAAATTAATTCAATCTTTACCAAATCTGTAGGGAAGGAACCTCTTCTTATTTTGAACAACATGTTTCCACTAGAATGAAAATCAAGGAAAGTAACTCACCCCAAGAACGAAAATGGCATTCCACGTCCAGGTCCAAGTACGGTGCAGGTAGTTCCACCAGCGCCAAAATGGGTAGCGTGAAGACGTAACACGTTGATGACTTTTCTCCACTGTGTAACTAACAACCTGGAAATGTAGATATCAATAGCACTGATCATAAGGAAATTCAAAATTTTTCGATTTCCATTATAAAAGGATGTGAAGTCACATTTATTCGCTAATCCTACTATCGGTTTACATATACTGTACACCAGGAAATTTTTGCCGCATTTTAACTTTTTCGTCTTTTCTGCAAACCATAATGAGGGCGAATTTTTCGTTACAGTAAATGTTAGCGAACAACATAATATAAATAGCAAGTAACTGGGAAGGGGGAAATTAACACTGTGTAAAATATAAATTGTATCGGCAAATGGCAAAAAATTTACCGATATAAAATTTCCTGGTATACAGAATATTTATTCTTTTACATCTACAATAAACAAGTTAAAGCCTTTACCCTGTCGCCTTCACCGAGCGCCAACGAACTGTTGGGTGGGCTCTGAGTGTTCATGACCACGGTTGGAATCCTCTCTTGTTGGTTCCCGATCTTCTTCAACACGATGTAGTTCTGCGGCAGCCAGATCCGTGTGGCAAATGTGAACCGTCGTTTGGGATATCTCACTTTCCCCAGTTCTTTGATGAGGACTGCCTCTCTCTGCAGGGAGGTAAATTATATTTTGTTATTTAAATTATCAAATTAATGTATCCAGAGGTCGTCTTTGGGAAGTCTGTAAAGTGGTGTCAAATTCCAGGTGTAATACAAGTTAGTTAACATACAAATAATCACAATAGTGAAGTTTGAAAGTGATCTCCTAGCTGATACAGGTGGTGTCTTCATTGAGGTGGTGTCTTCACCAGGTGCAACTGTATTCGCCACTCTCTACCAAATTATTCTTTGCAATGGAAGTTCCATTTTTATAATCAACATGACATAATTTCTACCTCAGGAGTATATTATTCATATGATGTTTATTTTATTATGAGGCTTAAATTGACATCTCTAAAAAAATTATATTGTCAAGATTAACTCATTCAGCCCTGAAGACACATTTGAACTCTTCCAATTCAAAGATTGGAATAGTTCATTACGAAATTTCAGGGGTGAATGAGTTAAAAGTCAAGTACCTTGCTTGACCCTATGAGCTTAACTGCTAAAACAATATGAAATCTATCTTTTTTATATATACCGGTAGTTTAAGTAACTCTGACCTGTTTGAGGAAGTTGAGGTCACGTTTAAGGAAGTAGACGGCCTGTTTGAGTCCCTCGTCCTCACAGATACTGATGGCCTCCTCGTGGGCAGACCATAGGTTCTGTTCCACAAACTCCGTCTGAAACACAAATGACATCAGTGCGTAATTCTAACGCATCATTTTTTAAAGAATATACAGTGACACCTGACTTTACAGACACCTGGCTTTAATGACACCCTGTAGTACCAGACACAATTTCGTGGCCCCTCATTTCATAAGACTTGAGAGCTCATTAACATAAAGCATAAGTTACATGAAGAATTAAACTGAACACATGTAAAGTAGAAATTTTGTTTAAACTGGCCAAATGGCTTTGTCCTGTGGTCTTGTCATAATTCTTCTTTAACTTTAGTTAAAATCTGGCAAATCTGAAATGTTGTCTATTCTCATTTTTTGGATACAAATATTCTGATAGTGATTATTGTGCTATTATTTATTGTTTTCTGGAATTTTAAGTGTTAAGACTAACAAGTTGTCACTGCTGTCAAACATTGAATGTATAGTCCAAGCACTGTTTACTGACAAAATCACCTACTGATTTTCCTCCTGAACTCCCCTTAATTCAAACACGTTTCTTAATCCTTCTGTGTAGCAAACCTTCCTCTCCTAGCATTCAACTACAGTTTGACCCTTTCACCCCAGGTTACTTGAATCAACTCTCCCATACAATCATCTGGATGAGTCCATTTTGGTCTACAGTGGTGAAAGGGTTAAAATGTGTGGCCTACTCCATACCTCAAAGGCTCTGATCTGTTCATTCATCCATGGTTCTATCCGAGATTTCACTCTGTATCCAGACTTAAGATGCGAAATCAGCTGTGAAAAGCAACAACAAAAATGTCAGACTTGGACTATGAGGATTGACAATGAAATATTAAACAACTTTTCATCATATTATAACTCTTCACACAGCAAAAGCATTTTATGTGTAATACAGGTTGAAGGTAAGAAGGGTACTGACAGAAATGCTAGCATTTAGTCAATAAGACAATTTATCCCGATTACTCCTGTCTTCCCAGCAGTACAAATGCATACCAGCATGTTGGGGAAGTAACAGATGAGATACTTTACTTGTACATTCAACCTATATCATATATCTTCTTGCTGTTTGTTACAGCACTAAAGACAAGAGGATCCCATACCGTTCCCATAACATATGGTTTATATAAAACAAGCTTTATCCAGTTTTATTAATTTCAGATGTAACGGGTATGAGTTTGAGATTCTTTTTTTTTTATGAACTCTACCAAATAATTTTCAGTTGTTCATTTCTTTAATATTTTGACGTAGTTTTAAAGTTTGCACTGAACTTGTGACATCATTGTATCATTCTGTATGATCTCACAGTATAGGACCACACAACAGAAAATCATGTGATATTTTAACATAACACAGCAGTCTGAGTATATTTTAAATTGCATATGTTCTACCTGTATCGGTGAACCCCTAAGATGTCACAGTACTGACCTTTTCCTTGTGTTTTACCATCTTCACCTGGACGTTGTTGACAGCTTTTTTCATGGCTATCACAGTCTTCGCTTGTTCCACCAACAGTTTACCTGTAATAAAAGTAAGTTGTACTGTTGTTGATATAAACTAGGATTCTTGATGTTCATTTTTGTTAGGATACTCTATACCAATCCTTTAACTCAAAACTTTTTTTTAACTAACAACACTTTCTTTGAATGTATATATATATTTCTAAACATTTTCTTCAGGTTGGTAAGTATGGATTATGAGAAGTTCTTTTTACACAACCAATACAATTTTCTATGAGTCATTTCGGTACATATATAACAACTATTGTACATACGTTTCCAGTGTAGCTGAAATCGACCTCGATTTTATGGACAACTCATACACATTTTACACCTTTGTGTGCATACGCTTCACTGGCCATTTGTCTGATGAAGGTGACAGTGTACATATCGTACAAGTCATCGAAACGTCACATACAAAATTTCACTGGTTGTGTAAAAAGAACTTCTCATAATGTGTATATATATATATATATATATTTAAGTGGATAACCAGAACACAATGTCTACCTCAAAATCTGTTTATTACGGTCTTACTGTGTTTATTTGTTATCTGAGCTAGAAAAGTAGTTAAATGTTTCTGACAAATTGAGAGCATGGTACCCATCTCGGATTTATGATTGGGACTTACAATTGGTACTTACGATTGGGACTTAAGATTGGGACTTACGATTGGGACTTAAGATTGGGACTTACGATTGGGACCTTCAGATTGGGACTTACGATTGGGACTTACAATTGGTACTTACGATTGGGACTTAAGATTGGGACTTACGATTGGGACTTAAGATTGGGACTTACGATTGGGACCTTAAGATTGGGACTTACGATTGGGACTTAAGATTGGGACTTACGATTGGGACCTTAAGATTGGGACTTACGATTGCATTACACATGTCATGGAACATTGTGCTAAAATTTGTTTTCGCTAAAAGAAGTATGTTTACGGCAACAGCTTGTCTAGATATCTATATGACATTAATCAAACTCAGTGCTCTTATGCAAAAACTCAGGAAAGTTTTGAACAGAGCTGAACCATCTACAATATTTCCAGATAAACCTGGTTTGGGTTGTGGGCTTTTGTCTTTTTTTTTTTAAGTGGTGAATTTACCAGAAAATGAAATATTGGCGAAATAAAGATTTAATGCAATGTTCTATCCACACCATATTTATGCAATCGTAAATTAATGCATTCATACCTACACATTCCCTTATATATGCTTATCATTACTTATTACTGTCCAGCAATCATGCATTCAATTTTAGGTTTTATTTTTTAGTTGCAGAAATACTTGAAGGTATCCAAACATATACATATGTATTTCATTTCTGATAAATAACATCCTGTTTGACATGAAATTTATATTTTAAGCCAAAACTTTTTGAGTTGTACTTAAATAAGCAATTCATTTCAATGCAAAATGTTCCAAACAAATATCACTGTTAAAATATGTACGTCTTCAGTATAGAAGATGTCTAGAATTGCAGTCCACATACAAATGTGACCGTATAGTCTATATATACCTACCAATACCCTGTTGTAGATTATCCAGCTCCGTGTTGCTACATATTGCACTGAATACCCTGTCTAAGTACTCGTCCATAATAGAGGCATTCACTCTCTGCAAAACATGAAATAATTTTATACATGGAATGTATTTTCTTGTTCTTACTCATACACAGATTTCATTACACACAGATTTCATCACAAATATCTCCAGTTATCTCCCTTCTATGTTATATTGCCTCCTCATAACAACAGTATAGCTGAACACAACAGAAGTTCAAAAACCTATAACAGGGCCCCTTTCGCATATACAGTTTAACCTGCAGAAATGGTTGAACCTGTAAAGAAAGCGACAGGCACAGATCTGAACCGAGGCTCATCTCAGGAATATTCAGGCATGTGTAGATTGAGGGGTCCAGACGTACCCGACCGAAACTAAAATGCTGATTATTGCTAGTTTGCGTTATTTCTTCTTAAAACAATGTCAAGTTACATGTAGTTTTTAAGATACGTTATGTAGTTCAGTGGACGTGTGAAAGAAGGGCATAATATTATTGATACATTGTTATTTATTCTCAGAAATTGTGCATTTTTAGCTCTGCTTATAGAACGGTCCAAGTGCGTTCGTCTAATCGTGGAATATTTCGGTGCCACCTGTACCGTTTCAACCGGGATACGCAAGGAAAATCGGTGATAAGTCATAAACTGCTCATCATTTGTATTATTCTGATGCCACTAATCCTCACAAACTATGTACACTGGCCTCCATCACATCTAAAACTGAGTATTTCAGTAGAGAAGGGATTTCTTATACTGGTATATAAAGCCTTGTTATACTGCCACTAATTGTCTGGTGATTTTTTTTGCATTATAAAGGGGTTTGTCAATATATTGAGGGAGAAAAAGGATATGTTAGTAAATCAAGGAAACATGGACTAGAAATATTTTTGCCATTATTGAGGTGACAATTAAAATGAGGGACACTATATGGACGTTTTTACCAGATATGCAGTGTCAAACAAATTTTTACATACTTTGGAGATTTCTTCATTTGTTAATCCTTTACCTTCAAAACAAAGAGAAAAAGATAATGATTAAACTAAAAAGAGTCAAATCTGCCCATGTATTACATGGTATCATCCTGGCATACACAATCAACTGGCATATTCATGTAAGCCGGTGACATTTTGATAAACTGTATTACATTTGTTTACTAGAATGATTGTCAAGCATTTCATTTTATCTAAACAGAGATCATTAAAAGTTAAGAACATGAAATAAAACAGTACATTTCTACAGCTGATAAGATAATGTCACCAAAAGATAAAAGAAAAGTTATTACAAAAACTACATGTACTTTTTTTATCTATCTAATTCAGTTCAAAGCTACCGTAATTTACCGGCAATAAGCCCCCTCTCGGAAATAAGCCCCCTCCCCACTTTGGTAAATGTCCTGGTAACAGGGTGGGTGCCTGCCATTAAGCGCCCCCTTAAAAAAGGACGTTTTGAATATAACCAATTGTTGGACTTTTCTCTCAGGAGGGGGAGCTTATTGCCGGTAAAATACAGTACATGTACTTTTTTATCTAGATTTCAGTCTTGGGTGATACGCTGATGTCTTGATTATTACAGAAAATTGCCCCTTTCTTAGAAAAATATGTATCATTCATCGACAGGTAGTATGTCAGTGACATTGCCTTTATATTAAGTTTTTAACACTACTGTGTATGTGTGTTACAGAGTAGTGGTTCGTCACATACCCTGTAGCTCCCGAATCAGCTTCTGACGGTATTGCACATGCCATCCCCTCGACCCTCGATCAAGTATACTACTGAGGATCGGTAGACAGTTGTTGATCAAGTCTACAAAACAAATACATTTAACTTCTTACAGTGTGTTAGATTTATTAATACTTACATAAGAAATCTAGATATGTCAACAAAAAACCTTCAAGAACTAGGTTTTTGATTTCTTAAAACATTCTGTGCCTGTCCAATTTGAAACGATTGCCACATATTATGACAACTTGCAGTATCCAATAGTTGAAAAAATAATTCACAAGAAAATATCAAGATTTTTTTATTTTTTTTGTTTGCTACAAAATTTTTACTATTACTCAATAATGGAGAGTTTAATTTGTATCTTTTTTCAAAAAACTTTCAATTCATGGGGTAAGAGTAGACAAACCTTTGTTGAACAACCTCAAGTCAATGTCGAGACCGCTCGGGGTCTGGTAGCTGTACGGTATGGGTGGGGGTCTGATGGGTGTACCCTATAATAACACCCGAAATAACATAATAATATCTGTAACATGATAACACCTCACACATTGTCCCCTATAATAACACCCGAAATAACATAATAATATCTGTAACATGATAACAACTAACACAGTGTACCCTATAATAACACCCGAAATAACATAATAATATCTGTAACATGATAACACCTAACACAGTGTGCCCTATAATAACACCCGAAATAACATAATACTATCTGTAACATGATAACAACTTACACAGTGTAAATCACAATATTTTCTTTTTCTTTTCTTGCAAACTATGCCCATGGAACGGTTCACAATGCATTAATTCGTGATTGAGAAGGTGCTGTTTCAATATTGACAGTAATTATTCATGGAATTATTGTTTACAACAGATTTAAATTCACAAATAAGTTTTCTTGTAAATTAAGGTGATACAATTTATCTCTCATGAAAGTAAAGTGCTTTACTTTACTGTACACAAATCCATAAGCACACCAATATGTAGGACAAGTTTCAATGGTGGCTGTGTACCGACCTTTGAGCTGTCAGCCTGCAATTGTTCACATTTCTCCTTCACATAGGTACAGAAGGTCTGGAAATCTTTCTTACAATGAGGCTGAAAATACAAATTCATGGAAATTAATTCTTACAGTGGGGCTGAAAATACATATTCATAACATCAGACCTACCATTGTCAAAGATGGTTCACAATATTAGAGCCTCTGTAAGCAGAAGGACATAATGGAGAATTTTAAATTTGGTAAATAAAACATTTGTGTTTCTATTTTATGAACTAACCTTCCTCTTTTTTTCTACTCTGGCTCATTTTATATACATGATTTGAATATTATTTAATAATGTTCTCTTAAAACAATAAATTCAAAACAATGTTTGTCTTGCCTAACTACATTTTGATTTTCATAGAATACCAGGGAAAACAATAATGTCTTTTTAGCAAGGTTAAAATACTAGTTACCTTGATGTCTAGCTCTGCCACTAAGTATCTCATGTGTTCGTCCTGGATTTTACCATCCAGGTCACCAGAAGTTGTGGAGGGGACACCAATCAAGATATCTGAAACATGAAATATGTACATATTTCTTCTACAGTCGTTACCTTATCTCGCATACGCCTTTTTTTCTGTTTCTTTTTAAATATTATAAAAAGTCAATTTTCACACTTAGGAGGACAACATAATCACCCATCCACATATATTTCCACATAACAGTATACGGAGCCTCTAATTGGGCTGGTCCAGAATTAACCATAGGGGTAAGGTGGGAGGCACTTTTTCAGAGACCCGACCACCCATAAAACCTCAAAAGTGATTTAATATAAATTCAATTTCTGCAATACCTTCCTGATGCACATATGAAATTGTCTATTACTACTGACATATATTAAGAGGAACAATAATGAACACTGCACAGCTGGCCTTAAAAACACAGTAAAATCTTGTTTCCCTGCAACAGTTTTTCAGTAAAATTTTATAAACGATTTGGTGGTATATCCAGGCCAATGAAAATATGGTGACTGTACGTGAGGGGGCAATGAGACAAGGAACTTACCTAGTAACTTGGTGAAGCCTATACCTAGCCTGCGATTGTGACAAGGACCTTACCTAGTAACTTTGTGGAGCCTATACCTAACCTGCGCTTGTGACAAGGAACTTACCTGGTAACTTTGTGAAGCCTATGCCTAACCTGCGATTGTGACACGGAACTTACCTAGTAACTTGGTGAAGCCTATACCTACCCTGCGATTGTGACAAGGACCTTACCTAGTAACTTTGTGGAGCCTATACCTAACCTGCGCTTGTGACAAGGAACTTACCTATTAACTTGGTGAAGCCTATACCTCACCTGCGAATGAGACAAGGCACTTACCTAGCAACTTTGTGAATCCTATACCTAACCTTCGATTGTTACAATGAACTTACCTAGTATCTTGTTGAATCCTATACCTAACCTTCGATTGTTACAATGAACTTACCTAGTATCTTGTTGAAGCCTATACCTAACCTCCGAATGAGACAAGGAACTTACCCAGTAACTTTGTGAAGCCTATACCTACCCTGCGATTGTGACAAGGAACTTACCTCGTATCTTGGTGAAGCCTATACCTTACCTGCGATTGTGACAAGGGACTTACCTAGTATCTTGGTGCAGCCTATACCTAACCTGCGCTTGTGACAAGGAACTTACCTGGTAACTTTGTGAAGCCTATAACTAACCTGCGAATGAGACACGGAACTTACCTAGTATCTTCTTGAATCCTATACCCAGCCCGCTAATGAGACAAGGTGCTTACCTAGTAACTTTGTGAACCCTATACCTAACCTGCGAATTAGAAAAGGAACTTACCTAGTAACTTCGTGAATCCTATCCCCCGCCCGCTAATGAGACAAGGATCTTACCTAGTATCTTGGTGCAGCCTATACCTAACCTGCGCTTGTGACAAGGAACTTACCTGGTAACTTTGTGAAGCCTATACCTAAACTGCGATTGTGACAAGGAACTTTCCTAGTATCTTGGTGAAGCCCATCCCTAACCTGCGATTGTGACACGGAACTTACCTAGTATCTTCTTGAATCCTATACCCAGCCCTCTAAAGGAGTCCGACACACTGAAGAAGTGTGACACAAATCTGTTACGAGCAGAATGAGACAAGGAGCTTACCTAGTATCTTGGTGCAGCCTATACCTAACCTGCGAACGAGACAAGGAACTTACCTATTAACTTGGTGAAGCCTATACCTTACCTGCGATTGTGACAAGGAACTTAACTAGTAACTTTGTGAAGCCTTTACCTAACCTGCGATTGTGACAATTAACTTACCTAGTATTTTTTTGAAGCCTATACACAGCCCGCTAATGAGACAAGGATCTTACCTAGTATCTTGGTGCAGCCTATACCTAACCTGCGCTTGTGACAAGGAACTTACCTATTATCTTGGTGAAGCCTATATCTAACCTGCGATTGTGACAAAGAACTTTCCTAGTATCTTGGTGAAGCCTATGCCTAACCTGCTATTGTGACAAGGAACTTACCTAGGATCTTGGTGAAGCCTATACCTTACCTGCGATTGTGACAAGGGACTTACCTAGTAACTTTGTCAAGCCTATACCTACCCTGCGATTGTGACAAGGAACTTTCCTAGTATCTTGGTGAAGCCCATCCCTAACCTGCGATTGTGACAAAGAACTTTCCTAGTATCTTGGTGAAGCCCATCCCTAACCTGCGATTGTGACACGGAACTTACCTAGTAACTTTTTGAATCCTATACCTAACCTGCGAATTAGAAAAGGAACTTACCTAGTAACTTCGTGAATCCTATCCCCAGCCCTCTAAAGGAGTCCGACACACTGAAGAAGTGTGACACAAATCTGTTACGAGCAGAATGAGACAAGGAGCTTACCTAGTAACTTTGTGTAGCCTATACCTAACCTGCGCTTGTGACAAGGAACTTACCTGGTAACTTTGTGAAGCCTATCCCTAACCTGCGAATGAGACAGGGAACTTACCTAGTAACTTGGTGAAGCCTATACCTAGCCTGCGATTGTGACAAGGAACTTCCCTAGTATCTTTGTGAAGCCTATACCTATCCTGCGAATGAGACAAGGAACTTCCCTAGTAACTTTGTGAAGCCTTTACCTAACCTGCGATTGTGACACGGAACTTACCTAGTAACTTTGCGAAGCCTATGCCTAACCTGCGAATGAGACAATGAACTTACCTAGTATCTTGGTAAAGCCTATACACAGCCCGCTAATTAGACAAGGAGCTTACCTAGTATCTTGGTGCAGCCTATACCTAACCTGCGAATGTGACAAGGAACTTACCTCGTATCTTGGTGAAGCCTATCCCTAACCTGCGATTGTGACAAGCAACTGACCTAGTATCTTGGTGAAGTGTTTACCTGACCTGAGATTGCAACAAGGAACTTACCTAGTATTTTGGTGAAGCCTATACCTAGCCTGCGATTGTGACAAGGACCTTACCTAGTAACTTTGTGAAGCCTTTACCTAACCTGCGATTGTGACAAGCAACTGACCTAGTATCTTGGTGAAGCCCATCCCTAACCTGCGATTGTGACAATTAACTTACCTAGTATTTTTTTGAAGCCTATACACAGCCCGCTAATGAGACATGGAGCTTACCTAGTAACTTTGTGGAGCCTATACCTAACCTGCGCTTGTGACAAGGAACTTACCTGGTATCTTGGTGAAGCCTATTCCTAACCCGCGATTGTGACAAGGAACTCACCTAGTATCTTGGTGAAGCCTTTACCTAACCTGCGATTGTGAAAAGGAACTTACGTAGTATCTTGGTGAAGCCTTTCCCTAACCTGCGATTGTGACACGGAACTTACCTAGTATCTTCTTGAATCCTATACCCAGCCCGCTAATGAGACAAGGTGCTTACCTAGTAACTTTGTGTAGCCTATACCTAACCTGCGCTTGTGACAAGGAACTTACCTCGTATCTTGGTGAAGCCTATATCTAACCTGCGATTGTGACAAGGGACTTACCTAGTATCTTGGTGAAGCCTATACCTAACCTGCGAATGAGACAAGGAGCTTACCTAGTATCTTCGTGAATCCTATACCCCGCCCGCTAATGAGACAAGGAACTTACCTAGTATCTTCGTGAATCCTATACCCAGCCCACGAATGAGACAAGGAACTTACCTAGTAACTTCGTGAATCCTATACCCAGCCCTCTAAAGGAGTCTGACACACTGAAGAAGTGTGACACAAATCTGTTACGAGCAGTGATGATGAGCAATCTCAAAACCAGCGCCAGATCCTGAAATACACAAATACAAAATATTACAGCAAAACCTGGCTTTACCACCACCTGACTTTAAATCCTGTTATATCTCACATGATTTTATTGCAACTACAATGTGGTTTATGTAGCAGATGCAGTATGATATCCAACCAGTTGATGTCTGTAAAGAAATGTTTCACTGTCTTGGAGTAGACAAGGCAGGTCCTAAGAAATCTTCATAGTGCATTGACTGTATGAATGATATAATAATCTCTAAAGTAGCCGCCTTACTCTATCTAGATAATGATATAATAATTTCTAAAGTGACCAGCTACCTCTATCTAGATAATGATATAATAATCTCTTAAGTGACCAGCTTACTCTATAGATCTAGATAATGATATAATAATCTCTAAAGTGGCTGGGTTACTCTATCTAGATAATGACATAATAATCTCTAAAGTGGCTGGGTTACTCTATCTAGATAATGACATAATAATCTCTAAAGTGGCTGGCTAACTCTATCTAGATAATGATATAATAATCTCTTAAGTGACCAGCTTACTCTATAGATCTAGATAATGATATAATAATCTCTAAAGTGGCCACCTTACTCTATCTAGATAATGATATAATAATTTCTGAAGTGGCCGGCTTACTCTATCTAGATAATGATATAATAATTTCTGAAGTGGCCGCCTTACTCTATCTAACTATATGAAATGTTAAATATTATTATTTATCCATGCTATTCCATTGTGATTCAATTATACTGTTGAGGGATGAATAGTTTACCCCATTCACCCCTAAAGGCACATTTGAACCTTACCAAATCAAAGACTGGGCAAGCCCAGTTTAAAACTGTAGGGGTGAATAGTCTAATGGGCAAAACTTTCCTGCATAGGGGAACTTTATTGAAGGCTGTTTACAGTAAACTGATTTCAGAGGGATCTTTATTTACGCAAGGTTGATAGACCATGGTTTTACATGATTCCTAGATGACCACAGCTTAACGAGTGACCTACGTTCAGCAGGGAGTCCTGGGCGGTCAGCGAGCCTTTCTGTAATAGACGGGTCAGCCTCCACTTGTGTACTTGTCCAGGGAAGTTGATACTGTCCACCTCAAACTGCCTGTAAACAATTATACTCCCATTTACAGTGCACTTGTTATAGATATAATGCTACCAAAATACCAATGCAACCCACAATACTATAGATCGATGGGAACTGCTTCCAGTAAACGCGACATCTTATATCATAATGACATTTAATGTAGCAATGGTGATTAGTGGCCAAAATTTGTTAATGGGCTTTTCCTATGATTAAAATGCACAATGATACTGACTTTAACCCATTCACCCCTTAAATTTCATAATGAACTATTCCAACCTTTGAATTGGGGGAGTTCACATGTGTCTTCAGGGGTGAATGAGTTAATGAGATGTGGAGACAACTTCTTGTGAATCCTTCAAACATTAAATCAGATTTTAACTTTTGTATTTTGGTTGTGATTGATGCCATTGCATTTCGGTCGCTGAGAGCTACATAAATGAAGTACATAAGAGATTCGGTAAGGCCAAAGTTAACATCATTTAAGTCACATATGACTGCTTATGGTTTCAGCATTCATACCAAATTAATCAAAATCCCTTATTGAACTTTTCAAATAATAATAATAATAATAAGAGGTTTTTATATATCGCTTTATCACAACCTAGGTCGTCGGTATCAAAGAATTCATACCTACAGTTGATGATTGTATCCTCAATTTCTGACAAATCAGAAAAAAATAATATTTAAACAAGGGACCAGGAACATTTCTTTAAAGAAATGATAGTTACAGATGAAAGCTACACATGATGTATTACCCATGATTCCAGACATCTTGTAGTTGTTTGTCTGTTAGTTTCTTCAGTGAACCTGACGAGTTCATGGCCACCTGGTCTAGCTCATCAAATGTTGGCGCCTTGAATAGGTCGTTAAAGTTGATCTTACCCTAAATGAAATGGAATTTTTGTCATTAAAAACTCTTCTAAATAATAATAAAAAAAAATCATCAAATAAATCAGTTCTTATAGGTGTCATTTAGTCCAATAGTAGCTAATATCAGTTAATTTGATCCCTACAATAACTTACTTCCATTGGTAATTTTTTTATAATTACACTGTTAAATAATTTCACATGGTGTGAGGTCAAAAAATAAATCACACTTTCATCATGACATAAAATAGAATAGAAAACTTTCCCCAGATTTGATAAAAGTCAGATGATGGTCTTTGTACAATGGAAAAAAAAAATTATTTTTTTTATTTACGGGTTATAGGCAAAAGATATCCAAATTATGAGAATTTTGGCTTAAGGTCATTGGAGTGTATTGATAAACGGAAACAGGAAGTACATCCCTAGTTGAATAACCAATGTAGGGAGACAGCATCACAATTTCCACAAATTCTAATGTTTAATATTAAATTGATGAATATTGTATGTTTATTATTTACAGAACAGTGTGTTCTCTCAATATTTAAGTAGTTCAAAGCAATCCAGACATTAATTCAGGTGGGTTTTTTTATCAATGAGTCACATGTGTCCATTTTTCTGTACTTCAGGAAACCGGCTACCTATTTCACTACTGTGAAGTTTTTCAAGAACGATAACTCTTACCTGCAATTACTATGTGTATATGGTTTTATTATAAAATGTCAATTTTTATATCGTGTATAGAGAATTAATTTTACACAGTTTCAGCATTTATTAAATTGATATACATTAATGCAATACTGATATATGTCAATATCATTTTTATTGACATTATTTTGAAAAATATTGTGTCTTTCAATTTTTTTTCAAAATTCACTCCTTTTTACATAAATTTCCATTTAAAATCCTTAAAATTCTGACAACCTATATTTTTTTTTGTGGCAGAAAATTTTCTTTACTTTAAAGCAATATAACTACAAAATTTGAAGAAATTCTACTGAGAAATGGTGACACAATCCTATTACCTTAATTGATTTCTGAAAAAAAGATCAGCCAATAGGTAAATGAAATATCCAGAACGGTAAACTACCTTGTGTAAAGTTTCCTTCTCTCCATCCTGGGGTACAGTAGCTTCACCGACTACTTCCGTTATAGAGGGTGGCAAAATTATAGGGAAGGTCTTCCAGTGAAACAACATGTTTTCTGCCAACTGTGAAAATAAAATTGACCGTCATCCTCAGTGAGTCTTTTTGTATATGGACTAAATTGCAATTTAGTGACTGCACTCATTTAACTGTTATGATATTATAAATTATAATGTTACGGTAAACCTCCGATCAGATCGAACAAGATTAAATAAATATTGTCAATCCTATTCAAATTACACGAAATTATAGCCGCTAAAATAAAGAGCAGCTCGAACTATCCGAGTCGATATCATGACAATAGACACGGCTGTCAGCGATGTGACGATGTCCGCACTCCGTGTACTGTTAGGATGTTTGACTGGCGCGTTCACATGTTTACATGAAAGAAACTCAATCATCGGTGACATGTGGCTAACCGCTTATTTTTGTATACATTGTCCAACATTGATGACAACAATACGGTTGCACACAAATACTAACCTATTATCAGTAGTTAAACGCTGTTGATGCAAAAAATGGATCAGGTTAAGTGAGTTTCGCAAGGCTATTATTGCATCGCCGATAACCAACCTCGATCAATAATTACGTAATTTCGGTTGCTTGAACAATCCGATACATGTGTAAGCAGGGTTCGAACTAGCATATCACTAGACAGAAAATTATTATTTCTATTGTTCAAAAGGTGTGTTCGAATTATCCACCTATTTGAACTGACCGGAGTTGTTTCCCGTATATTATTATGAATCTGTGTAATTACTGTATTTATCCTGCAAAAAGTCCAGTGACCAACACATACAGTCCAACTTGGGGAACAAAAAGGCCCGGGGGGGNGTTTCCATTTCTACTGAACATCATTATATATATATAGATTGGCTTATTACTTATTACCAGCAAATTATGGTAATTCAACATAAATCATAGAATATGACATGTATTGTCTAATGTGAAATATATAACTGGTCTATTTTTAACTCTACTTTTCGACGTGTTGCATCAATATTTATTACATTACCATCTTGTCTTCAATGTCATAACACCCATATAACACATAACATACAATGTAAATTGTGTTATCAGCATCTAACAGAGCTCCCAGTTGTTTCAATCGAGACATCAGAACAAGACAACTTTATGGCATCAGGCATATTTACATCAAATTGTATTGGAGTCAAAAAGTTGCCATTTAAGATTCTGCGACAGCCTGAGAAAATGTCGTTTTCACAAATGTGTTATGTGATAAACAAAATCTTTAGTTCATTTCAATTTCATAATTACAAGATGAATGAAACTCGTCACAAGATTTCATTATGGCTTGCCACAGGCTCACTAAAATAAGAAATTCTTAGGCTTGTTTCATAAATTTCTCATATGAAATGGATGTGAATGCGAGATCACCTATTACCATCTTGTAAATTACAAATGTGTATCGTTAGTGTCATCCATATGTATATTACCTCCACAACTCATGGCACATTAATAAAACATGACAGGGTTTATGAAGTTGAATAATGAATTTATGCATGAATCAATTTAACCTTTTAACAAAGAATCAAATTAACAGTCTATTTATTTTCTCTACATTTTCAGCTGCAGGCAGACCTGCAAATGTTCATGCAGGCCTGACGAAGCTTTGTCAAGGCTCACTTGACAGCGGCATCAGATTACTAGGTCCGACCATATATCATAAACGAACAACTCAGGTCCAACCGTTTGGATCACGATAAATGAAATTCCAATTATTCGAGGGAAGTAATTAGAAACCTGTAAAACGTTTTCACGTAATAATCAATTTACTCATTCAACCCTGAAGACACATTTGATCTCTTCAAATTAAAAGGTTGGAATAGTTCATTATGAAATTTCAGGGGTGAATGAGTTAAAATGCTGACCTACATTGTAGTTCTACGTTTTGATTTTCTGTAACCAAATGCAATTAAAACTTAAATTACACACCGAAATATTTTAACGAGAAAATTTAATTAAAAGGGCTCACCTCCTTGATGGACTTCATCACCTCTGCCATGTCATCTGGCACAGTGGAGGCATCAAACTGGAAGAACAGGGTCTCTTTCTGTGGACGTTAAATAAAGCCGCCTATCAACTAGTATACAGCATATATGTACATTATGATAGACCCTTACCAAATTCAATATAGGCCCCCTATCGTGCACTTGTCAGAGAAATTCACAATTTGTGTAGACAATCAAGTTAATTTCTTACTATCTTTTATATTTTCTGTTAAAATTATATAAAGTAGGTTTTTTAAGGCGATACAAAAATATTACATAATGCATTTTATTACATAATGCATTTCATATTGCAATCTGTAAGCATTTGAAAATTTCAGATTTATCTAGTTTTGCCAAACATTTGTTTCCTTATTTGAACCTACGTATAAAATCTCTTTCTCAAGATATCCTGATGAAGTAATTTTAAGGATTCAGATATTTTAGTCCGGGGCTCATTCTTTTCCTGTGGGACTCATAATAATTGTTTGAGGACCTCGCTATATATGTCTCTTAGTAATGGGACTCATCAAAATATTCAAAAAGACGTTCAGAAGTCACCTAATTTCCTTCAAATATCACAATAAGTACCTGACAGACCTAGGCTTGGATATGATTGTATTTAAAGTAATAAATGGTATATAAAATTATATAGCAACTGACACAAAAAAAAAGGATATAAATTTACCAAGGTTTCTTCAAGAAAACAAAATCATTCTAGATAACCCTGTAAATACATGGAACAGCATGATATAACATGTACCAATGACTAATGATAAACTATATTCCAAACTATATAGCAACAAACACAAACAAAAACAGCTTTACAAATACTTTCTCAAGATAAAATTATCATCATATATGTAACAGTGTGTTCTGATATTTGATTTTTTTCTTTTTCCTATATATGATCCAAAACTTTCATATTCATCCTTTTCACATTCGAAGTCTCTGAATTTAAGAGGAGACTATAGGTATCCCCCATTATTTTTTACTTCAGAATTAAGAATTCCCTACATGGTGCTTTTGCTTCAATATTTATTTTGCATCTATAGAACAATACAAGTTTATTTTATAATCTACCTTTTTTTTCTTTGAACCATATGACAAGTTATCAACAAGTGGCCCAATGGTCCTGCATCGCTCACCTGTTATTAATCTAACACTTGTAATCTTAAAATTTCATAAGAACTTATTAAAAGATCTAAACATATGACACCTCTGACCTTGGTTGTCGAACTAGGACATTAGGTTGAAAGTGGATCAAGGTCATTCATTTGAACTAACATGGTAGTCTTTCATCCCAGCATGCTACAGGCCCAATTTCAGTACCCTGGACCTTTTGCTTATTGAAAAGAAGTCGCTTGAAGATTTAACAACATTTGACCCCTGTGACCTTGAAAGTTGGTCAAGGTCATTCATTTGAATAAATTTGATAGTCCTTCATCCCAGCATGCTACAGGCCCAATTTCAGTACCCTGGCCCTTTTGGTTATTGAGAAGAAGTTGTTTGAAGATTTTACAACATTTGGCACCTGTGACCTTAAAAATTGGTCAAGGTCATTCATTTTAACAAACTTGGTAGCCCTTCATCCCAGCATGCTACAGGCCCAATATCAGTACCCTGGGCCTTTTGGTTATTGAGAAGAAGTTGTTTGAAGATTTTAACATATTTGACCCCTATGACCTTGAAAGTGGGTCAAGGTCATTTATTTGAACAAACTTGGTAGCCCTTGATCCCAGCATGCTACTGGCCAAATATCATCTTCCTAGGCCTTTTGGTTACCGAAAAGAAGTTGTTTAAAGCAAAAAGTTGACGCCGGACAGACGGACGCCGGACGGACGGATGCTGCACCATTACATAAGCTCACTTGCCCTTCGGGCAGGTGAGCTAATAATCATGTTTCCAATTTTTTTCATGAGATTTGACCTTAAACCTTGACAGTCTACAGATAAATGTGGGTTGTTGTAAATTTGATGATCAAATACATCATCATGTACTTTAAGCGGTTTTTTTTCTAGAAAGTATATGACCTTTAGACTTGACCCTGTTTTGATGTAGGCATTTGTCTAATCATCATGATGACCTTTGACCTTGGTTGTGTTATGACCTTTGACCCCAAAAAGATTTAGTTGTTTGTATGATAGTTGTGACTGTATCAGTACAGGAACACTGTGAGGAATGCCTCCAGCTCAGAGAAGCTACATCTGGCTCCCAGCCAGGGCTAAAGCTTAGGAATCTCACTGATAGCCATGTCTACATGAACGTGTAGCATATATTACCAATATTTCAAAGCATGCTATAGCAATTACCTTAGAATGTAGTCCAGTATTTATAAAACTAGTTACATACATTGTACATCTGTACTTATCAACCAGGCTCTATAGCAGTATATATATATACCTAGGCACAATATTACCCTGGACTAGACAATTTTTGCTGTACAGAAACAAGAATAACAAGAGATAACAAAAATAATATATCATGAGTACCACAATCACAAACAGCACTTGAACTTTTTATGTCAGACTATACAATGCCCACAAAAACACTGACTGATCGTTATTTTTGGCTATTTTGAATTGATTTTTTAAATTGAGCAGGAAGTATGAATATTGTTTACCAAGAACCACAGATTTGTATTACAACTTGTTTCCGGGAAGAAGGGAAAACACACTTATCTTTGATTCATATGTAAGACCTTTGTCAACTTAAAATTTGACCTCAACATTTGATCAAGTAAAAGATCTAGAGTACACTGTACAATGTATATGTTATGTTGACTTATCATTATGCACTTGTCTCAATGGGGGGAAAAAAAGAGAATAATTTATTCCTGTTAATTCACCCCTGAAGACACATTTGAACTCTTCCAAATCAAAGGGTGGAATAGTTCATTATGAAATTTCAGGGGTGAATGAGTTAAAGGCACTGTTACTGCCTGGACAAGCAATATAAGTAGTTTGAACTTTGACCTCCGTTTGTGTCCCAGATCTTGGGAACTGAGGGTCCTTGAATAACCTAATGGGCACACAATCTATTGATGACACATACATCCAAGTATAAAATATGACAAGACAGTATTACATAATTTATTTCAGAAGTAAAGCTCAAAAAAATAAAAAAGCTTTTAGACGTCAGAGTGTGTGGGACATGCACTGAAAGTACATTTTATGTAATATCTTATGTAAAGCAACAATCAACTATCTAAAAGCATTTCATTTTATATTTTTTTAATATGACTGATATATTTTCAACGAATATATATTTGCATTATATACACATGTATGATTGAAACTTTATTAATATTAACCAATATACTTTCTCAGTGCCAGAAAGTATGACTCTCAAGTATGTATATGGGTGGTTTAAACCCTTTCACCACTGTAGATCATAATGGACTCATCCATATCAATGCATGGTAGAGTCTACTAAAGTTACATAGGTGTGAAAGGGTAAATGATTTTTATTTTTTTATTTTCAGAATGTGCACATAAGTTTCATAAAATATTATGACCAAAAGTTGATTACAATTAACCAATTGGTCATCAATTTTTCATATTGACTGAAAATTGCTGAAACCTGCCATGTTGCTCGGCCAGGCCAGTTCCCTTGATTTTCCTTGTATAAAGATAGAGATGGTCATGATCATCATTAATTGAATGTGATGTTGATCATGATTCCCCAACATTATTAATTAACAAACATCAAATAAAACTGCTTTACCTCAGGATCCATCTCCTTAAGAGTGGAATCTTCCAGTGCTTCTGTCATTATGCTTCAATTTAAACCTGTAAAATAAAATATATTCTTGTTAATTTGTACAGAGTTTAGTTAAAACTTATTAATACCAAATAAGTTGATCTGTGTTTACTTCAAACAAGTTCCAAGGATCTCGTTGATTTTCCAATAAGAGGACATTTGACACAAAATAAAAAGTGAAAACTGCACATAAGAACATTCTATTTGCAGTTGTAATGTTGACTTTGGCCTTTGACACACAACAGACAGACAGACACGAGCACAAATCCAGTGTAATTGTTCTACTTTCCTACGAACTCAATTATTTTGTTTATTTGTGTAGGCTATGGAACAAGAGGTTATTTATAACATGTAATATATTTTTCATTAGAAGTAGTATACATTAAGTTTTAAGTTTCATCATTCCTAATTAATCAGAAGGAAACAGAATTATCATGAATACGACACTGAAGTTCCAGGGGAGCAGAGAAATACAGGTATGATAGATTCACTAACCCCTGGAATTTAGAAGTGACAAGTGATATGGATGAAATACTCACAGCAAAAGGCTGGAGTAACAAACTAATAAGCATAGCTACAAAAGATACATTATTAATATCATATAGTAGGCTTGCTATTTAATTCATTAACCCCTGAAATTTCATATTGAAGTATTCCATCCTTTGAATAGGAAGAGTTCAAATGTGTTTTCAGGGGGTGAATGAGTTTAAAATACCTTAAATTTAGTCACAGGTTATATAGCACATAAATGCTGTGAATGTCACACAAAACATGGATTGAGTTCAAAATCTGACCCATGCAAAATCTCCTCCATGGAAATTTTGAAGATTAAAAAGTAAGCAAATATGCAGAGTGGACTGGCCAATAATCCATGTTATTGTTTCCTCTAAAAATGTTGCTAAATATTCAGGAGTACCATACTCCAAACTTCACAAGTCTGATGATGCCTAGGTTTATAGTAATTCACTGTATGGAATTACGAAATTTACTATGAAAAGTATATCTGGTAGTTTTAAGTAGAATTGCAGGCGTATATATACGTACCCTCTAGGTGAGTAGATGTAAAATTATACAAGCCTGTTATTTTTTGGTAATAAATATATATGCTGATAAAAGCTATCAAGAAGTACAATACCCAATTTAAAGGAACATAGATTGTTTTGCATATATACATGTATGTATAAACATTGCAGACAGTGACTGAAATCAAAGATCAGGTAAACTACTTGAAAAATGTCCAATACATGCATATCTCATCACATCAGACAGAGAAAGCAACTATCATCAATGCTTCAGGACCTAAAATGATGACTGATATCTCTTAGAGACCGCGATCAGCGGCATCTCTCGAAGATTATCGATGGTTTGGTACCTTATATAGCTATCCAGCTAACCCTCGCATTCAGTTCAACTCCAGACATCAGGACGTGGACACTCATTAACTATTATCATACCTTCATGTTACATGGATATTGTCAAAAACATCTTCATTCCATGAACTGTTAATATAATGACTGGATCACTCTCCCTTGACTCCGCTAATCAAGTAAGTACAGCTGTACCATAACACTTCAAATATATAGGGGTTTCAAGCAACTAGTGACGAGAGAAGGTTGGCTCAATAGTGTTTCATATTACAGGACAGTCAGTACCAGATACTGATCAGATACATGTAACTATATAATATCTGATAATGACCTCATGGAAAACAGATCTAGATGTCAAATGGGGAAATGAACACTGACACATGGATTATTGTACAGTAAGTACACCTCATTCTCATGTCATTTTTTTTGCTGTGTTGTATCTGGGCGGATGTCATGAAGTACTTTAGTTCATTATCCTTTCCTGGTAAATGATAATGATGATGATGATGAGTGCTGTCTGAACTTTTAAGTACATGACTGTGTTTGAACTTACCACATAACCATGTGCAAAACTACTCCTACAAAACATGTCTTTATGATTAAGAATATGAAATGAGACTTTGTGGATCAGTCTGATTGTGTCACTCGGACAAATTGTTACAAAGATTGAGTGAAGACATATTTAACACTGCAAAGTCCCAGGGTAACACAATTCGAATGAAAAGAAACAGCAAATATTGCAGTCGAAACTTCACCTTGCGCAGTTTTCCTCGGCAAGTGAAACTGAAACTGACCATTTCGATAACATTTAAATGATGTGAGTAACACTTACCATAAGTTATTCCACAGTACATGTACAGTAGCACTAAGCTACATTATGTCAGAGAAATTCATGTTTGTTTTAGTTTGACAGTCCGTATCTTTCGTTTCTCCATCTCAAATATCGTTGATTCTCGGCTACAGCGATAGTTCACGAGATCTTTCCGTACAACTTCCTTTTCCGGTTTAATCACGTAAGCGAGAACATGGCGGTTTATAATAAGCAGCCACAAATCCACAGTTTATCGAATTAATCGTGAATAAAATGAAACAATTTTACATGTCTAGTGTTAACACAACATCTCATCTTGTTATTCTGAATAGATTTACATATTTTAAAGACGGTAAGAAATAATCAGGTCTTTATTTTCACAATCCTTCTGCAGCTGATCACCAATGGCGGACGCAGCACCAGCCGGTGGACGTGGGGGATTTAGAGGAGGATTCGGGTCCGGCGAACGTGGAAGGGGCCGCGGTCGTGGACGTGGGCGTGGCAGAGGAAGGGGACGTGGACGTGGGGCAAAGGAGGAAAAGGAATGGATGCCTGTCACTAAACTTGGACGTTTGGTGAAGGATCTTAAGATCAAATCTCTAGAGGAGATTTATCTGTTTTCCTTGCCCATCAAGGTTAATATTGGTTATTGATAGTAGACTTTGCCAACAGAGACAGATTCAGTTATTGTCGTTAATAAAAATACATCACACCCAACCGGGGGGGGGGGGCTACTTTTTCAGTATGGTATCTATAAGTAAGTGGGGATACTTGCACATGCACATGGTTTTAGCCACATCCTGAGACTAGTCTTTTGAATTGATAATACAGTTTCCAACCCGAGGGTAAAGAATTTGGGATAAAAACGAAATCTTTGCAAGGTTTACGAAAATTATTTACCCAAATGGTCGGACTTAAACCCAACTTCGTGACAAAATCTTCAATTAGTTATCGTAGAACTGGTAGAACTAGACATTTCTATACCCAACATAATTATTTATTTAGTAACTGTCTTGCATTGCTTTCCGATGAAAAGAGCGCATCCCGGGTAATAATTTATAATAAATACCCCTATAAATGAAGATAATTAATTGGACTGGGGGGGGGGGTCAACAATGCAGATGAAAATATCAAACTTTCAGCGGCATGTCATCGTCTATTATCTTTGCATTATCATGTCATGCCCATGCAAGATAAATCTCGATTGGGTTCCATCATGGAAATACTATCTTGTATATGAGTTAAAATAATGACTCCTTTATAGGATAACTGTTTCATCACAAGCATCTGTATGCTAACTTATGACAAGGCTCCAAGCTGCAAGTTTTATTTTTTATTCAATTTCAAAAGTACTTGATACACTGTTACTTTGTCTTTTTCTAATTAGTAAAACCTGTGGAAAAGTATATTTTATTTTATTTACAGGTACTAGAAACTAAATCTTTCTTGTTCTTTTTCAGGAGTTTGAAATCATTGACTTCTTCCTTGGATCTGCCCTAAAGGATGAAGTACTGAAGATCATGCCTGTTCAGAAACAGACTAGAGCCGGTCAGAGAACCAGGTTCAAGGTGAATTATCCCATATATTCCAGTGATTTTTTTTGCTCGGTTTAACTGCCGAAAACAGGTTAAAAATTGCCTTATTTTTCCAAAATGACCAAAACCTGAGGAATATATTCCCAATTTCAATACAATTATTGCAATATTTCCCCAATTAATAAAGGAACAGGCAGTTGTAAAATTTAGGTAACAAAACACTGTATTCGTGCATCACAGACCACTTAATATCGGATTTTGTAGCTAACTTGATTTTAAAATTTGATTGAAGGTGTTATGTAAAGATATGTATTGTAAGCAAAATTGGTGGAAAAAATTAATAGTTTAAAAATGTCAACTGATCAATTTAAAATTGCTCATGTTAAAATAACTGAACATATAATTATTTTAATTGTAGGCATTTGTTGCCATTGGTGACCATAATGGTCATGTTGGTCTGGGAGTCAAGTGCTCAAAGGAAGTGGCCACTGCTATCCGAGGGGCTATTGTCTTAGCCAAGCTGTCCGTTATCCCTGTACGCAGAGGCTATTGGGGTAACAAGATCGGAAAACCACATACAGTACCATGCAAGGTAAATGTTATCTATTTTCAGCAGCAAACTTAATATGATGACAAGAAATCTGAAAATCAGGATGAGAAAACAGTTTACTGTTATAAACCCATGATTTTTGAGAGAGAGAAATAACATTACAGCTATGTAGCTAAAGGTAATGTACTGAAGGTACTGCCTGGTAACATCCACTACAGGTATGTCATAATGTATGGATCAGCAACAAAACTGAAAACTAAATATAATTGTTTCTCATCCTGTATTACATTGTTTTCCAGGTGACTGGTAAGTGTGGCAGTGTCACAGTGAGGTTGATCCCAGCACCTCGTGGAACAGGTATTGTCAGTGCTCCCGTCCCCAAGAAGCTGTTGACCATGGCTGGTATTGAGGATTGCTACACCAGTGCCAGAGGCTGCACAGCAACACTGGGAAACTTTGGTAGGTTTCTCATCTGCATCCCGTTTTCATTTGTGTAAAATTTATTGACATAGAAACACATTCATATACTTGTACTTGCAGTTATTTAGAAATTGTTCTCTCATTTGAATTGGGCATCTTTGTGATGAGGGATGTTCCAGGAAATACTTCAGAAGGTTTGTTGATTGGTGGGGGTCAAAAGACAGCTGTTAAACAACTCTTTTTATAGAATAAAAAATTCTGTCACTTTAATCCCTCATCCCCAAAACTTGTAATGCACAAAACAAGGGTCTCTAAAGTAACTAGACTTGATGCATTGCAAGATGATAAATAGTGTAGCGGAACTGGACTGGGTCAATCGTCGGCGATCAGATGGCTCAATTGGTAGAGCATCCGTCTAGAGTTCGGAAGGTCCCGGTCTGACTGTGCATTTTTCCTCTCCTGTTACAGTGGTGCCTGTGACCAATCCTTGTTTAAAGCATTTGGTGTATGTTTGGCAAGGGGATACCCTAACCTGGGTTGTAAATATAGTTGTGTCTTCGGGGGAGAAGACTTAGAAAAAGGAGGGAGGAATATAGCGGAACTGGACTGGGTCGATAGTCAGCGACCAGATAGCTCAATTGGTAGAGTTGGAAGGTCCCGGCTTCGAACCCCGGTCTGACTGCATTTTTCCTCTCCTGTTACACATAGTTAAAGTAGAACTATTGAAACATAAGTGATCTGCAAGTTCTTTTTAATTAAAACTGAGTACATTGTTAACATTAATGAAAAACCTTCATATCGGGTATCATTTATCAGTCATTAATTACGTGAACATTAGGATTTACCAGGGCTCCTTGGTAAAACATAAATATATTGAGGGGTTGGGGTGTGTCCCTTGGGAGGGGATGAAATGGCAACTGGAACATCCCAAATCAACTTTCATATAATATTTCTCGATTATTAACTTCTCACAAATTGGTAGGATTGTATCTTACTTCCAAAAACGTATTAACAGAATGTTTTGAATCTTTAAAGCCAGCAGATAATCTCAATTAAAAAAGTTAAATATTGTGACATACTGCCTACATATCTACCATATTTCAAGTGGCAAGTGTTTTTGACCATAATTAAAAACATTACAATTATTTCATTACAGCCAAAGCTACCTATGCTGCCATCGCCAATACCTATGCTTACCTGACCCCTGACCTGTGGAAGGAGACTGTATTCACCAAGTCCCCATACCAGGAATTTACAGATTACCTGTCCAAGGTGCACGCATCTGCAACAAGTGGTGTTCAGCGTCAGGAGCAGAAGGTCTATTGATCAAGACCCGCGCTACTCCAGCATGCCACAGTTACTCGGATTCACATTGTGTAATGCTTGAATAAACAAGAGACTTGGCATAGAATATATATCATAGTGTATGTTGTTTGTTCATTAGTTAACCTTGCCTGAAGTGAGCTAAGCCATGGCAGTGTTGTCGTCCTGTCAATGTCTGTTGATGGGTATCAATATGTTCAATACTGGGTATAGACAGTGTGAAGGGATAAGTAGAACATACCAACAGTCCAGCAATTTATCTTCGATATTGAGCTAAAATGTGGGTGACACCATAAGCCTTTAAACCAAAAACGAGCCATTTTGGTTAGTGTGGATGTAGGATCCCCGTGATACTGCAAAAAAAATGTAACAATGTACAGGAAACTATTCCATGCATGACTACATCTTTGATAATAATTTCTGAAAAGAAATCCATACATTGTAGAGATCTTGCCATAGAATCGGATTAACTAGGACAAAGAAATCTAAACCATACTGGTATAGTGTCCAGACCAGGATTTTGCTCTTCCAATTGCATCAACTGCCCTACCTATGAAAGGGGAGATAATCACAGAAAAAACTTGTCTAGCATTATTTGTTCATTTCGGGATTTGCTTGAGTTATCCCCCTTACAAAGTATTTCGATACATATTCTCGAATACTTAAATCGGGGGAAACGTGGCAAAACTTAATTTTGATGTATTTCAGATTGATTTGTTTTGCCTTTAAATTTGTAAATATTTCTGTACCTTTTATATACTATATAACCTTATGTTGTGTAGAGTACAATTTTATAAGTTAAAGAGAAGGGTAACTTGTCAAAGGTGGCAACAATTAACCACAAAGTGATGTTGCTTAATCTATATATATCGTTGTATACTCTCAAACTGAAAAGGACATCGGTTCTTTGGTGAAACATTTTGGTGATTATAACTTGTGCAGTGACATCCTTTACCTTAACGCAGTATCCTGGTTTCATATTGGATTCTATGTACAGTGTATTTCTTGAGCGTACAGATATTTTTCACTCTTGTTTCAAAGGTGTTGCAATCAAATATCTCGCTTGCAAAACATGTAATAAATACAATACTTTGACACAAGGAAATATGTATGAAAAGTACGCCCCAATGTATATATTGAGTCTTAAAATAATTGAGAAACACAATGTTAAAAGCAAGTTTGTTCATAAGTGCCTCCCACTAATGAGAGGGAGTATGGTTATCGCGTCACGTCCCTATGCATAATAAACTACTTGTGTTCAAGGACTTGGTATCTCATGAAGCCCTCCACAAGCATGAGTTCTACACTTCGTATTTGGTAGTAATCGGGCAAGAGTAAAGGATCAAGGTCAAAGGTGACGCTACAAGTAAAAAGCTTGTGTATACAAGACATCTTATGAACGCATCAACATATTTAGTTTATATTTAATAATAATTCGAGGCTCCTATATACCGCTTTATCACAACCTAGGTCGTAGGTCTTCTCAAAGCGGTTCACACATTACTCGTGGTAAATGGGCCTTTACAACCAGCCAATATCTTTCTCAACTCCCTGGGGAGCATACAGCCGGTGCTGCCATTTAGGCGCTCACAGTTAGCATTCAACAATTCCAGCACTGCCCAAACGCGTACTCATATACAGCTGAGTAGACTGGAACAAGCGGAGTGGAGTATCTTGTTCAAGGATATAGCACAGTGCCGTGACGTGACTCGAACCCGCAATCCTTCGGTCACGAGCCCGGCGTCACTACTACAGAGATGTACAATACTACCTGCTGTATATGTCTCTGTACTATGCTACCGTGCCTCCTAATAGTTTAGTAATATTTACCTGTACACATGGTTAGAGATTGGTGGTGATCGGTCAAGTTTACAGGGTCAACAGTCACTCCTGATCACTATCAACTACTTTCTGTTGGGGAGGGGTATATTTCTGCGAGGCCCGCTCACTTTGTTCTTGTTCAAAGTGACATTCAGTAAAACTGATGAAATACAAGGGATTGTTTAGAATACCATATTTTTACCTTCAATATTTCCAGGGACTTACACATTGGAATCGTCACCTGTACCCATATAGACAGCTCTCAACAAATCTCCAGTGGAAGCAGCCTTTGGGGCATTGGAATAACATGTGAAAAAAGAAGTGTGAAGCTCCCTAGTGTTCGAGGGAAAGGCCCAAAAAAGGGATGACGAGCTTGTGTTTTAGAATTGTATTTTTTTTAATCTTTATTCATTATGAGATCGTGAGCTGTTCACTCAAATCGCGTTACTTCCGTGGTCCAGTGTCGGGCATTCAGTTGGTCTGTTAACTTGTTTTTGTTATCGCTATTTCTCATAAACTACTAAAGTGATCATATGAAACTTGAAATGTTTGGTTTTATATAGTTTAACGTACTAAAACAGCCTATGTCATATACACGTAACACCTCGTGCCTGTGTGTAATGTGCTCAGGTTGTGCTGGAGGCCGTATTTTGGTGATAGCGCGGATATGATGCAAACTTATCTCAAATTGATACCCAAAGTTTGAAAAATCAATTTGAAACTATCCTCAAAAAGAAAGAGGACGCACAAAATAGAGCAAAAAGGTATCAAACGGAACTGAAAACAATGGGGAGTACAGTGACCAAATCAGATAAGGAGATTGACGAACTACGTAAAACAATAACTACATTACATGAAAGTAATTACAAACTGACACAGAAAAACGACGAGCTTACCACAGAACTAAACAATTTGAAAGAAGAGTGTGACGCACTGGCAAAAACTACGAGTAACATGAACATACGCGTTTCAAACATAAAAAAAAGACAAAGAATTAAGTGAGAACTCACTGGGAAAAAAGCTGATTAATTTGAGAGCCGATGTGTCTCAAACACGGTGGAAGATAAGTGATTGTGAACAAATTGCGTCGAGATTTGATGACGAACAATCCAATGGTATAGTGATCAGCCTTAAAAAAGTCGGTAAGGTTGGTAGTCGAAAGAGCGAAAAGTGGTGATCAGCAAATCGACAATCAGTGTCAATCGTCTATTGCAAACCTACGTCAGGGATTTACCGAAAGGAGGAAATCAACAAAAGAGAAGAATATTACCAAAGATGCGAGGAATGATGCTAAAGGGTTATGTAAAACAACGAGTGCTCAAGTGTCAAATAGTACTTAAACCATTGACGCCTATCCAGTTATGGGACCAACAGTCCAATGCAGGAATCGGTTCGATACTCTCCGCACGGAACTTCGGGAAAATACAAGTGAACACAAAATAGTTTACAAAAACAATGTAACGGACAATGTCGTAGAGGATGTCAAGGATAAAGGAAAAGAATCCAAGAGGCAGATACATGTGCATTTTCCTACATCAGTTTGTAATCTAACACCAAAATCCAATTCCAGTTTATCAGAGAAATTTGTTGGTTATACGACACAAGCAAAGCGTAGAATTAGTCGATTTTAGCTTCCGCATCAGCCATGCGCGACTTCTTCGTGTTACGTTTCTGAGGTACTTTGTACGTCGGTGAAACATCCTATCGGAGGATGCTGACATAGTTATTGGCAGTCACTTCTGGCCCGATGGCGTAAGTATGAGGCCATGGGTTCCTCGCGCAGTATTTCTAGATGAGCACAGTCATGACCAAGCTTAATTTTATGTGTTGGAACATTGAGGGGCTGATGGCGGGAACTCCGTACCTAATACACTGTCTAGAACAATTTGACATTGACATTTGTGGTATATCTGAGCATTGGATTAGGGAACATAACTTATCGTTTTTAATACGTTTAAATCGGTGGGTTATAGTATATTCGCAAAACCTGTTTACGAAATAGACCCTTTTAGGTATAGATGTAGTGTACGAAGAGGGGTTGCTCTCCTGTTCAAAAAGGCCCGCCATCGCTTACAGGAAATGAGGTAAATAACCCAAGGATAGTAGGAGCGGAAATTGTTGTACCCGATGACCTGTCAATATTCTGTTTTGCTGTATATATGCCAACATCTTCGAGAGCGTTCGATATGTTCAGTAACAATGTAGATATGCTGGAATGCCTGTATTCAGTTTACTCGGAGAGAGGGAGGGTGATCTTTCTTGGGGATATGAATGTAAAATTCAAAGGACCGCGATGTAAATTTACTGAAAATTATCGTTCTCTATGTTTTAGACAGGTCTAACTTAATGTCTGCAAATGTCCAAAACATGTGCAGTGGTCCCACTTATACATTTTCTCCCCGAACAGGAAACTGTACACTCATTGACCATGTAATAATTGAATCGAGCATGTTTGACCTGGTAAACGACATATGTATTTTAGAGGACACGGAGTTAAACCTGTCGGAACACCTACCTGTAATTTGTTTATTAAATGTAACAACGTATCTACATTTTTATTTTTTATTTTTTTTTGTACTCCAGTCTATAAAATCATGTAATGTCCGGTAAAATTGGAAGGAAGCTGTGTCAGAGGGAATGTTACAAAAGTATAAATTATCACTGTACGATAAGTTGTCCAAAATACGCGAACCAGGTACTGAAGTAATAGCGCAGGATGAAATTGATATATATAGTAATGAAATTGTGTCAGCAGTACTAAATTCGGCTAAAGAGTCCATACCTGAAGTAAAATTCAAAAAGCATCTAAAGCCATACTGGAATGAACAGTTGGCATTGTTTCCCGATACCATGATAGGAGTCAGAGCGATATGGGTGAGGGTTGGGAAACCACAAGATGTATTAAACGATAGTTACAGAGAGTACAAACAGGCTAAAACTGATTTCAGAATTGGCTTAAGGCAAGCGTTTGAGAAGTACAAGACAGCGCAGTTTACAGAGATAGATAAATCTGGAGAAATTGACCAGAAAATATTTTGCCATTTCGAAGATATATTTGCTGATAAGGCAGACAATCGTTTCGATAACAAGTTTCAGAGCGATATATTAAAATGTGTTAGCGACATTGAAATTGGGCTTTCCAATGGAAAGGACAAGTATTTGGATGACCCTGTTACAGAGCGTGAAATCAAAAATATGTGTTATAAATTAAAACTAAACAAAGCTGGAGGGATTGATAATATTGTGTATGAACACTTCAAGAACGGGAGTG